TGAGCCTTTGGATGGAGAGATGGTGGATGGGTTGCTCCTCTCTAGTGGATAAAAGGTGTGACGTCATGGTGTTTTATCCAACCTTGTGGGGGAGGGAGGAGGATTATCTACTCTCCTAATTTCTCTACCCTTCCATGCCCTCCTATTTGAACGGTCACGGTTCAGGCATTTCAACATCTTATATTGATTTTTTTTTATAAAGATAATAAGACAAAAATCAATGTGTGAGAGGAGGGGATGAAAGGGGACGAGAATAGGAGGGTAGAGAATCATCTTCCGTGGTCGAGATCAAAGTAGCAGTACATTTCTGACAATTTTTTAAAATTTGAAAAACCAAATACAATATAAGTAATTTTATCCTACATTTCAAACTTTCTATATTTGAAAAGAAAAATACATTTATGAGGAGTGTAAAATGAGATTTTTGAAATGCCAATAATACTTCCTTATGAGAAATGTTAATTTTTTTTTTTAGAAAGTGAGACTCTCTATTAACTCTTTGAATTGATGGCCTGAATCTTGGCGTGCTCTCGCTTCAACGATTTTTGATTGCGAAATCGGAGTCCAATCTACGCGGCTTCAAGAAGATACAAACTACGAAAACGAAAAGAGATAGAGGGAGACCTACCAAACCAAAAACAAAAATTGTGGGAATTGGGCTCGAAGTTTAGGTGGTGGTTTGCAGGTTTGTTGGGTTGCAGACAGAGGGTGTCGGCGCGTGGGGTTTGCGATGGGGGCGGCCTTGCGCGGAATGGAAAAGGGGAAGAATGATAGGGAACAGAGAGAATTTCCAGTTTTTCAATTTTTTTCACTTTTTCAAAATTGGTTAGCAATTTAATTATATGGCTACCTAGAAAAATTTGACTGACACATCATCACAAATGTGTGATTTATATTTACCACGTCATTACTTAACAGTTAAATTGACAGTTTAATTAACAGAATTATGAAATTGCAGAGAAATAAAAGTAAATATATGATATTGAAATGTTATAAAAATATTGTATGAAGTTGCAACTGCATCCAAACTTAAAATGATAAAATTTAATTCACCCTTTTATTTAATAAAGATGAACTGATTAGTGTCTGCTGTAACTTGGAATGGGCCAGTAAAATTATTAATGTCTTTTTTAATTTTTTTTTCTGGTCAAATAAACCAACAACTATTGCCTAAGATCCCTACCGCAACCCAATTAGTCTGACTCAAAATTAATAAAATTATTTGGTAAGAGAAGAAAAATTATGAGTTCACAGATAGGGGGTGATGAATTCAAATGTGAGTAAAAAGGTCAAAAGGAAGATATTTTGTTTTATGAGATTTTTTGTCTATTGCTTTTAGGAGCTGGAATTTGAATTGTTTACCATTTAATTAAATTGTCATTTCATGATATTAGACGCGGATTCATAATGTCATTCTTTTATATAATTTTTTATACATGTTTTGATAGAATTTATTTTATAATGTATTTTAACGATTCGTATCGTTTGCATTTTAGAACATTATTCACATATCATTTTACAAAAAATTAGACAAATATAAAATCATAAAGATATTCATTTATAGTGAAGAAAATGAATAAATACGATTCTATAACCCAATGGTCATATGGTTTTAGATTTCAATGATTATTGGTAGACATGATTTTTGAGGAAAGACCTAAAAGATAATCGGTTCGCATTATGGAAATACATTACGAAGTGGACCCTATAAAAACATGTGTCAAAAGTTATGCAAAAAAATGATGTCACGAATCCATCCTCTATTATATATAGTTTAATCTAAAAATAAAATTAAAAAAAAAAAAAAAAAGTCTAGCCCACTAACCAAACTTTTGAGCATTTAGCAATTCCCATGACACAAAATGGATAAATTTTTGTTTGTGTCAAGAATACGGTCACGTGATATTAACTGTTACATATTATAATTTGAGTGGAATGAAAATACCACGTAGCCGAAGATATAAATACAATAAAAAATTCCTCCACCGAACAAGCATGCTTCATAATCTGCTAGAGTAATTAGGGTATACAAAAAACAGTTTTTGAACATGTAGACAAAATGTTTGCTTCTTTCTTTCTCTACTTCAAGTTCAATTCAACTCATATAATTATCCCACCTAACCCCAATATGCACCCATAGACCTCAATCCTCGTAGCCATTAGCTAAAAGCTGAACGTATTGGCACTACCTACGGCTGTGAGGGTGTGAGCCTCTGCAGACTTAACAAGGACGCACCAAACTGCATGTGCTGATGTTCAGCAATAACCAAGAAGCTTAGTTGATCACCCAACATACACAGTCACACTGCTAATGTCAAATACACTACACGATTTGCCTCAATGAGCACCCACCAATCTAGGGACCTTTCCAGACTTCTACTGATAAAACGAAATTTCATATGCACTGATGTATGGGTTGCAACGTTGGACGCTTGGATTGGCATAGAGTGTGTTGTGAAAAACTCAGGGTAGACTCTGAAGCCTTAAATTATTATTTTGAAAATTACTACAATATAGTAGACAATTATATATAAAGTGTTCTAACCAGTAAGAAGATGTTCTTGAGCTAAAAATTTATAAAGTTTATTACCGGTAAGAACACTTATAAATTTGCAACTCCACTAATGAGCATGTTCTTACCGGTAAGAACATGTATAAATTTTCAGCTCTACTAATGAACATGTTCTTATTGGTAAGAACACGTGTAAATTTTCACCTTTACTAATGAACGTGTTTTTATTGGTAAAAACACGTTCATATATTACTAGTATCTTGTTTTGTACTAATTTCTAAAAAAATAATTTTAGACCCCGAGGTCTACTTTTTCCTAGATCATTTTTTTTTTTAAATTATTTTGAAATAGTACGCAAAGTGTTAGAAAAATACATGTTATAACAAGCCTCGCAAGTTGTCGTCATAATGTAGGGCATCACATGTCTTGACAAGCCATGACTTGTCTTGACACACTAACCCTCCCATTGTGGCACACCATAACAAGCATCGTGAATTGTTGACAGAATGCATGGTGTGTCATGACATACATTCTGACGCTATTCATTTTGCTGACAATTCGCGACGCTTGTTATGTCAGGGCCAACAACAATGTTTTGGCATGCCACGATGCGAAGGTTAGCGTGTCATGCCATGCATTTTTCTAACACTTTGACAAGTTAATTCTCGCATTGTGGCACGCCAAAACATCGTTGTTGGCATGCGATGATATGTCACATATCTTGACATGCTAACCCTCTCATCATGGCACATCATAACAAGCATCACGAATTGTCAACATAATGCATGGTGTGTCATGACATTCATTATGCTGACAATTCGCGACGCTTGTCATGTTGAGGTCAACAACAATGTTTTGGCCTGCCACGAAGGTTAGCGTGCCACGATGTGAGGGCATGCATCTTAGGCCACTTTTGTTAAAGGACCAGGCTTTTCTGCCCTCTTACTTCCCATACACTCTCATCCCCTCATATTTTGTGCGGTCACGGTTAAGCCACGTCAACATTTTATATTAATTTTTTTATAAAGATAATAAGACAAAAAGTAATAGTAATATAAAATGTTGACGTGGTTTAACCATGAACACACAAATAGGAGGGGATGAGAGTGTATGGGAAGTGGGCGGGCAGAGAAGCCAGGTCCCTTGTTAAAATAAAATAAGCTTTTTAACCAAAATGGTTATTGAGATTTATATAATTCCTTACTTTGGTCCCTCTTTAAGATTTAAAATTGGTAAAAGTGCTTCCTAAGATTGTCCACCGTCAATTAGTTTGGTCAATTATCCACCGTCAATCAGTTTGATCATCCTGTGAAAAATCTCTGTTAAACCGAGGCTATTTGTCAAATCAATCCCTCTAATTGAACTAGTGATTTCTTTAATTAAATTGAGATTTTTCACAGAAGAACCAAAATGATTTGACGGTGAACAAAAGTGAGAAGTTATGACAATCTCGGAGACCACTTCTATCGATCTTAAATCTCACGGGCCAAAGTGAGAAATTATGACAATCTTAAGGACCATTTTGGCTAAAAAAATTAATTAAAAAAAGAAAAGAAAAGAAATGCTAAGGAGACTTTCCATGAACTATTTGTCACCTCATATTTTTTATATAATATTTTATAATATTAGCATGAAAATTAACATTAATCTTGAGATGATAGAGAATTTACAAAAAATCTTATTTTTGGAAAATTTTCATAACATTTCTCAAATAAAAATAATAGGCCAATGATAATTGTCAAGGACAATAAAAGCCAGCAAAATTATATAGGTTTTAGCGTCATCACGTCCTAATTTTATTTGGTTAGCCTTGGGAAAATCAATCTAATAATACAAAGTGAAAGTAGATGGGATTGGAATCTTCACTATTACTTGTACGATTTCGGCAACGAGAGAATTCTTTTGCTTTTGGTGCGTTAATGCCGATTATATCGGCTAATCTTTGTATTAATACTAGGGTTTAGAGTTAGTTTTGGAGCTTGTAAATTGGGAATTTACCTCTTCATTACAAACAGTAATTGGCCGCTTACATCAAGTCATGAATTAGTGACCCTTCTAATCATCTTTTTATCAACCTTTTTCAAGTTCTTGAATATATATGCATACATGCATCGAACTGAACTCTCCAGAGTTTAGATATATATATGTATATGTATGTGTATGTGTGTGTGTGTGTATATATATATATCGATGACATGGATGAAAAGCAGGACAAGTGCGTGTCTGATGAAATGTACATGCTTGCGATAGCTTTCTCTCCGCTGTAGCTTTTTATCCTGACGAAAGCTATTTAACTTGAAGTAGGGATGAAGCAACCAAAGCCACGCCAATGAAACACACAAACAGAATATACATCTTTAGCTGCATGCGGAGCAGTCTATACTAGGTAGAATGTCCGCGCCCCGCTACGAGTTTTGAAATCATAACCATAGTTCAACTCATCCATATCTAAATAATTCATAAATCAATCAAAGCAGCTGAATCCACATGGTAAAATAAGTTTTTCAATTTGCATTCTATGTACAACCAAAATGGCGGATTTCTAAATCCAAGCTATATACATTTTGCATGAATTTGAGAATGATGGTGATGTGGCTAAAATGCACATGCACATATATCCAAAATTGAGTCCAAAATGGCGGATCAGTGAATTTGATCTAACGGCTACAATTATTATAACTTTTAGAGGGCCTTTTGTTTGTAGCCGTTGGATCAAATTTCAACGGTCCGATGGATTTACTCAGGAGGCTCAACCTCCTAAGCTCAGGAGAGGATCCTGATCTGCTTCACAATTTCCAGTTTCATTTCCTTACCAGCCTCAGTGAGCATTTCACCAATTTCAATCTCTTCTCGAGTTTCAAATGAATTACCATCCTTCTTTTTCTATTTCTTAGCTTTCTTTGACTTACCTACAGTAAAAAGAAAGCCTCAATGACCACTTGACCTTATAACTATATACTGCAGCAAAAGTTCCATCCATTGACTCTGCACTCAGATCAAACAAAAGTTGTCACTTCCTAATTTCCAATTTCAATTCCTTACCAGCCTCAGTGAGCATTCCCCAATTTCAATCTCTTCTTGCGTTTCAATGGGCTCTGATCGGCTACTCCATCATTTAATAGAAAGAAAATTAGATCAATTAAGTTAAAAGAAGGAAAGGATTCTATTGTCGACACTTCAAAAACACCCAAGCATTTTCATACAACTTGAGTTGAAGATTACCGCAGACGATAACGAACTCCAGCTGCACCACAAAAGGAATATGATCTTCCTCTCAACTTGTATTTGCAGTTATTACTGTAATATCTGCAGATAGCATACATAAGCACTTATTTGATGATTCTCCAAAAAAAAAAAAAACACTTATTCAATAATGCACCAAATCCAATCCAAAAAACAAAGGGGGTGCCATATCCCTGGATTAACAGAGCATCTTTCTTTGTGTTAAAACAAATTGTGATTTGGCTTTGGTAAAGCAGAAAGATTACCATATCTCGGGCATAACCTCAATTCTGTTCCATTATTCGAGCATTTTACTGTCCTTCTAGTTCTAGCTCTCTACATGCGAAATACATTAAGACAGAAAAAGAAAAGTTAGTGATAACTATTACATATTGAAAGCAAATAAGAGTTTTGATTTTACTCTCAAAATGGAAGTACGCAGCTGAGGAAGCAAGCGATGCAGGCTGCGATTCTCTGAATGTATTGTAGTCTCCAATATGTACGTAAGGTATGTGAGCTGAACACAGAAAAAAGAGAAGAATGACACGGAAACAATGTTTTGAGGGGAATGCCAGAACTGAACATAATATATTGGGTGAGGGGAAAAATAGTAGTTAAAATTTATATACCAATAACGAACAGCCAAAAAGGAATGAAAACTCGTCTTCCAGGTGCACTACAAAATTGTTTGTAATTCTGTCCTAGTAATTATATTCCAACTCTTCCATGTAAAGCAATTATATTCTAACTCTTCTGCATAAGGCTTTTCTTTTACTTAAAACTCCTCAACATCCAGTGGAACATCCAGAACACCATATCATCAGAACCGCTAGAGCTCTAAATGTTTTCTCCTATTTTAATTAACACAACATTCTTTAAGCATAATATGATATGAAATACGAAATTAATATGGTACAAAAATCTAAACCACATCATGAAAGTGAAAACACATGTTGAAGCTATGCAATGTCTGTACTATCCATTATGCACACCTTTGTTATACATGTATCATATTCATACGTCTTTTCCGTTAAACTACATTTTCTGTGCACTTCTCAAAAGAACAAAAAAATATAGGCAACAGTACGTAGAAAAAACATGACTGTAGTTGCATCTGTTTCAATGCCTAATCTATATTGTACTGATTGCTAAACTTAGGATTCACATACCAACAATCCAAAAATCGAATACAACCATGAATCACAAAACCACCAAATATAGACCGAAATTTCAGAAAGTTTGAATGTCATAAATAAATTAATAATTCTGATCTAAATACAACAAAAACTAAACATTTGTTCCTGTAAAAATACCCAAATCAATGCAGACAAAATGTGATGAGGTTTCCATTGCCAAGTACCAAAACCAACAATTAATGATATCAAGAGCCTTGCGATTATGCAATATATAAAATTACAACAATGAATCAAGCGATCCAACATGCAGGCATTTTGTTCAACATTCACCAATTTGTACATGAAAACAAACAGAGCAAATCCATGAGCATATTATACAAATTCAAGCTGTAGGGGCCCGTGAATCCCTACATCTTGAATATCATCTGAAAAACCCACAAAGACATTAGACATGAACCCTCGGCATATCTTCTCTACACCGTTTTACCTTTGTGGGTGTCGGAGACCTGCGATTTGATTTCTGCATAGCTAGGTTTGGTTTCGGCTTTAGGTAGTGCGAGAGGAGCTGTGGAAAACAGGGAGGGCTCCAGAAGGAAGACGAAATGAAACGGCGCTGGGTTAGAAAGGCAGACTGATTTGCAGAGCTTTTGTGTGAAGATATGCAAATCCCTGAAATCTCCCGTAAAATCCTCCCATATCTCTCTCAAGTTCTCAACCCAATCCGTCAAATTTGACTGGAGTACAACCGCGCGCGCAATGGTATATATGTAAATAATGCAAAATCAATGGGCCATTTTACAATAAACTAGCAAAACCGCAAATATATCGAAATCTATTCAGAGACAAAATTACCCTTATAAGTTTTGATAATTAACCTCCAACCCAGCCACAGTTTTGATGGCAGTGGTGTAAATAAAGCAAAAGCGAGTGTCAACAATTTGACTAGCTATAGATAATATGCATGCAGGGGGTTGTTTTTCCTTAAGTGATTTGCTACTTAATAGATAGAACAATTATATACTAGGTTTAAAGCACGTGAAGCTCATCAATAACCATATACACGTTTAGCTCAGAGCATATATTACATACAAAAAATATCGTTTTCTCTAAAATATTAACCGACATGCAAAGTATGACATCATGTTAATTAATATTTTCAAGTATGATATATGTAGTCGAGATAAACAATTTGTCAACATAAAGACCTTATATGTACAGAAGTTTGTTGATACTATAGTGCCACTCTCTGTCACCCAAAGTCAAGAACCCCCAAACCCAATCTTACCTTCAGCAGTCGACCTCTCCCCTTGAGTGGGGTCAGTGGCAACCTCATCTCCCTCTTCCTTAATCCCCTTCTCCTTTTTTCCCTATTCTCCATCTCCTTCCTTTTTTATTTTATTATCATCTTTGGCCCTTGATTTCTGGTAGTTTTTCTCTGAGCTTCTTTCAGTTTCCTTGAACTTTTCTCAATTTCCATGGGCTTTGTCTCAATTGATGGAAGACCTTGTCTCAGATCAGAGCTTCAAACATTTTTCTTTCCAAATTGTTGTTACTAGCCATGAGTTATTGCCCCACCTATTTCGGCTATTCGTCTTCTCGAGTTCTTCCTCCCTGGACTTCAGTTGGAGGCGTGCTTTGGGTTTTGCTGGCCGCTAAAGTGAAACTTGCACTATTTGGATTTGGTAGGATTATGGGACTGCTTTTAGGGTGGGTGACTTGCTTACCCCCATTTCCCGTTCATCCTTTCGATTCATTGGCTCTTCTTTCTGGTGGTGGAGGCTTGGCGATGGTGGTGCTACTATTTTGGTGGAGGACGCTGGTTCTCGTTTCTAGATCTAGAGATGTCGGCTTAAGTATTGTTATGGGCTCATTTTTTAGGATTGTTTTCTTCTTCTTATTATTTTTTTTTGTAATGGGCTGCACTTTTGCTTTAGTATTGTGAATTGTTTTTGGATTTGCCTCACTTTGTATTAATATGTTTTAATTTTAGTGAAATTAGTTGTTTGAAAAAAAAAAAAAAAAAAAAAAAACAACCCTATATCTACGCATAGTAACATACATTGAGCATAAATAAAAAGATTTTATGGTTAATCAAGTTTTAAGATTATGAGGTTCATTTGGTAACAAATCGGATGGTTTGTACTTTATACTTACAAGCTTCATGATGAATGGGCTTCTATGTCATGGATCCTACTAGAAATTGATCCATTCCCATACTTCACAAGCCCATATCACTTCAAGAGTTGGAATCTCCCGTATACTTCAGACCGTCCGTACGTAAAGTACAATATAAACCTAAAATACCGTCCTAATGTACATTTCTATCATGGTTGAGTTTTTGCTGGCATAGCACAATACTACTTAACCTCCTGTTCAAAACGTAGAAAGAATATTCCAACTTGAGTGCTAAAAGCAAATACACTCTCGTAATTAACTAATCCAACTTTTATATGCTGCAGTTCTTAATCGTTGATATTTAAGGTACACATTGTTCGTGATCATTCTCCTTTTCAACTTGGCAATTGTTGAGCCTCTTTTCATATATATTTTTATAAGATAACTAGGAATCAATTCCATCACAAAACATAGACAAGGTGAATATATTGCCTATCTAGCTCGCTTTTCGAAAATGGGAGAATGCAAATTACAAATTGCCACATTATATATAATATAGATGAAGTATCACTTTTCCCGCCACAAAAGTGAAGTATCATTAGAACCTACAAAGTGCGACATCACATATACTAATATATTATATAGTTAAATTCCATGCGAGTGCTCTTGGTTTGAAACTTTGAGGAACCTCCTAATATTCATCTTGATGTTTTGTTATCGGATTGTAGCTGTTAAATTTGCTGGTTTTCTTGTCCAGCTCGTTTTGTATTGTGCTATTGCTTCTCTTTATCTAATGAATCTATGCCGTTGCTTTCAAAAATAAAATAAAATAAAATAAAGATAATAACTTTGTATGATGGAAGATGTAATTAGGAAAGAGATTTGGGATTGGGAAATAGCTGCTAGCGTATGCTACTACAATATTTTGGAATAATTCAGCAAAAAAGCAATGGTTAACTTCGAAAGTATCTCTCTTTTGCAAAGATTTGACAACAAATATAATGAAACTTTTAGCTTCACTCATGTACATCAATTCCTAGCTAGCTCATTCCTTGGGAGTTCTCCACTTAAGAATGAGATTATAACGCAAAAGATTATAACGACAACTATGTACATGGAATTGTAGTTTTCCTTAATTGTTTGATTTTTACTTGAGCAAGACGTTTGACAAAATATCCCAAAGAGACCGAGAAGTAGGAATTCAAAACAATCTAAATTCTCTGTCAACTCCATCTTATTCGGAAAAGTTTCTAAATCTATCACTAAGCGCATAACAAGCGCCATGCAATGAGCTAGAACAACAAAAGAGGAACATAACTTAATATATGATACTTCCTTCCTTTTCAACTTCATAGATTCTACTAGCACACACCATACCGATTCCAAATGACTATCATGATGATAATTAAAGTGTAATAGGAATAAGCATTTAGTTGATTGCTAACTAAATGTGTTTATGTAAAGCTTTGAGGCTGTCTGGGTGAACCCCACGAGAACCGGAAAGGCCATATATATATAAATATTTATGCGTGATGGAACAACACTATCAAGAATATAAATTTACATATAGCTGCAATAAAGTCGATAATCCAATTAAAATTTAGATTAAGCATCATAGAATATAACGCAAATTCGCGCACCTCATAATCTTCAGCCTACTATATCACATTCGATTAATCCTTGTGCATGGCACTGAGCTATGGTAATTAATTTACTCATAGGTAACAATTACCTTGGGTTAAGGGGTGAACAAAAACGGACTCTTATTATTAATGTAATGGTGACCATATATGCTAACTATCTTCTTTCGTTTTCCATTTGTTCACTTTCTTAAATAATTAAACCAACTACATTATTATCAACTTGAAATAAGAATTTTTTTTTTGGGTTACATCAGAAGAAATTGAATCGTGTTTTTTTTTCTTTGATAGGACATTAATTATGTTCTTTCGATTATTAAATCAAGAAAATATGTACGTATAATTTGAAAGAAAGGGTGATAATCGATCACTCATCCTGGTCTATTTGATTAACATATAGTATATTTAGGCATACATTCAAAAGTGATATGTGTAGTTGCATTGTACTTTAA